CTCCATCTCCTGTATAAGGTACTTCTATAAATCGAACACCTTCTAAAGGTTTATTTAAAATGTCCTTTCCTTTGAAGTTAACAACAATCAAATACTAAAATTTTAAAAATTAAAATGTCTGAAATAGAGTGAGGTGATAGGGGAATGTTTTTTAGAGTAATCTTGCTTGAATTATCTCAAACATTTAATCTTCACCTAATTTCTCTCCGGATAGAAGAATAGAGGAAAGTAAAATTCACCAATCTATCGCGATGTTAGTTATGCGCCTTTGGCGAATAATTAAAAAAATTTCTTTAATTTTCTGAAATAAAGGAAATCAACTGCTCTAAAAAGGCCATCTAATGTCTGAAATTGAGAGGTGATAGGGATGTTTCTAAGAGTAATCTTCCCCGAATTATGCACAGATATTTAATCTTTAAATTAACACCAGATAAAAGAATAATTTTAAAAAATTTTCCTTTGTTTTCTGAAAATCTCACTACCCGATTTTTCAACAGATAAATGATTAATATAATACAAGATTTGGCTAAATGTCAGAAAATACTTTTATTATAAACATATTTCTAATTTACCACATCATATTTGCCGTTGTAATATAAAACATTAGCCAGATTTAACTAAAAAATTCGGCTGAGATAAATATTCTATTGACTTTTAACTTACAAAGAAATTGTAATGGGTGTAAAATGCATCAGTTACCAGCAATATTTTCTTCCCATTATTTGCTTTGGTTGGGATTTGTTGATTGGATTGAATGCTTGAAGATGATGAAGCTTCATCATAATTTTGTTGAGAAAGTAGAGGGGTTTTACTACTTTCTCCTTTAAAGGAACTCCACATACAATCAACATTTGAAGGTAACAGAAAATAAAAAATAATTAAAAAATAATTAAGCCAAAAAATGGAAAACATTTTCAGCTAAAAATTGAAAATTAATTATATATTTAAATTCGAAAATTTTTAAATAAGTTGTTAGTAATAGTATCTTTTGAATGGACGTATAAACTAGACCAGTTCCAAAATTTTTTCGGAAAAAATATTAAAACTTCAAAAATTAACATGTCTACAACAAAAGGAGTTAAAATCAAAGAATAATAATTTTAATTTAGCAGACTTTGATTTAATTTAATGCTTTAAAAAACTTAAATTAATTTAATTTTCATAGAAATTGTCTACTGATTTACCTAAAATAAAAATATTATTTCGACAACATTTATGGACTATTGAATTAAAACATTTTATATTAATTTTATTTAATTAATTATTTAATTTAATTATTAATATTCTAAGAAGATTTAATAAATAAAAAAAATTTTTAAAGTTTTAATTAAATTAAGATTAAAGAAAATAATTCTTAATTAAAATATATAAGCCAATATATGTAAGCCAGTAAATAAATAATTTATTTAAATTATTTTTTAATTAAGCACTTTAAGAAGCTCAATAAATCAAAATACAAAAAAGAAAAGTGTAAACAAATTTAAAGACAGTCTAAAAATAAATTATCAAAGTAAAAAACCGACACCAATTTTTAAAAGTGCAAGTAAATAAATAAATATATTTTTATTATGTAATTAAAATATAATGAAATAATTTTTTAAATAAATTTAAATTATTAAAATATTTAAAAATTAAGTTTATTTAATAAATAAAGGTATTTATCAAAATGTATATTTATGTAAAACGCAATATAAGGAAACTTATTAAAAAGTAACCCCTCTCCTACATACCGTATTTACTCGATTAATTCCCCACCCGTGAATAATTCCCCACCCTCTATTAATTCCATGCCACGGATGGGCTGAAAAAATAATTCCTCGGTGGAATTAATCGAGTAAATACGGTATGTAACTTTTATTTCAAAAATCACCAGTATCCTCAATTCGGTATTTTTGAAATTTTTAATATTTAGTGCCGCATTATTAGAGAATCAATGACAAATTTTAAATAGTATCGCGATAGCCAAGACTAACTGTCCATGGATTTTGAATGTAGTATAGAGACAACTGGTAATATAAGTTTAAAAGTCCAAAAGATACCCTGAAAAATCTATTAAGCTAATTTTTAGGAAAATACTAGAATTGTATTTTATCATTCAGCTGACCGACTGACAAATTTAAAAATTAAATAGCTAACAATACTATTTTATGCCAATCCATTTATGCCAAAAACTTGTGTTACAATGTAAATTTTAAAAAATTTTCGAATTTAAAATTAAATTTTCCAAAATTAAAGAAAGAAAGAAAAAGTCCTATCAAAAATTTGTCGATTTCTGGTTTTTATCTATTTTCTTTCTCTTTTTTATAACAACAATTAGAAATTTTGTGTCTTGACACAAAAACTTCTTTTAAAATTAAAATAATTTGTGTTTTTGTATATGTTATACACAATGGATTTAAAAAATTAAAAAAAAAATTAAACTGAGTGCCAGCCGAATTTGATCTGCTATAACATTTTATGTCATTCGATAGCCCACGACAAGCTGTATATTTTTTAATAGAACAGATCAGGTATGATCACTGATTAAAAAGTTAAAACCGATAAGTCCAAATATTTGATGTTTTCCACATTTGTTGGGTTATAACTTTAATCAGTGATCAGATCTGATCTATCCTATTAGAAAAAATACCGCTTATCGAGGCTTTCGAATGATTTAAAATTCAATTGTATTGGATTAAGTATCAAAAAGTTATAGCCGATCAAATTCGGCTGGCACTCAGTTTGTAGTCGAATAACGGAAAAGTACCAAAATATCGTTTGCAAATTAAGACTAAAATAGTAACGAGTTATGAGAAAAGAGAAAACGACCTGTATACAGACTCGGTATCGGGTCTAGGAAAAACGGCATCTGTAGTATCTGGCATCGGTTTTAAAAAAGGTGGGATAATCTGATTCCGATATAAATAAATTTTCGTCCATAATTTATGCAAACGATACTTTTTTGTATATTTTACAATCTACTGAAATTGTTAATCAGCTAAAATATAATATCGGGTTTAGACGTTACATACTTGGGTGTTCACATCGGGAGGGAGAGAGGATCAGGGGTCGGATGAAAATTTCGGTTATGCAAAGCCATGAGGAAAATTTTCTAAAGGGAATTTTCGTGAATTACAGTAATTTCTTGTATTTGATAAGATATAGATATTAAATTCCTATCATTGAAAAATTATAACTTCAAAAAATATTTTTTGCACTATATAAAAATTAAGGGGAGATTACGGGGAAATTCTTATACCAGAGGTAATCTGGGTCGGGAAATTTTCAAAAGACAACCCATCTCCGACTTTTTGGGGAATTTAGCTCTAGAAAAAAATTTTAGGGGATTTAGCCCTATACACTCAAAAAATGTAAAATTTGGGCTTATGTATTGTATCCAACAATAGATACACTTGAATGTACTATATATGTACATTTTTAATTCCATGAGTTTGCACAAATCGGGTTCCTCTTACAATTAAATCGTTAAATTCTTTCACTTTACTTCATCGAAAATTCCTCTCTCATTTTTCTTTCGAATTAACGAATTCTTCTAAAACAACCGAAAACGGCTTGTTCCCAAAATATAGTAGAGAGTCTTCTTCAAAATTACGCATTTCGGGAAATGGCTCCTCTTTTTCTTTATCTTCTATAGCTTTCTCAACAACTTCAAGAAACGTTTTAGTTTGTCCATTGGGAAATTTTTCGATTGCCTCTTTAATTTTGTTAGCATTTTCAACCAGTATGTTTGTTGGATAATGATCTTCTCTAAAATATTTTAATTACTACATTAAAATTTATTAAATATTCAAAGGAGTCCGTACAGTGATCCCTGATTCTCCCTTTCCACTAATATTTTCCTTTTTTAACTCATGGCATTCAATCAGTCATAATTCAAAACGGTATAACTTATTGTATACAATGTTCATACCGTGGAAAAATTCGTTGGATTACAAACTAGTCATCGGAAGTTCCGGTTCCGGAAGTTCCGGTGTTTTTTTGGTTCCGGTTCTGGGAACCGGAACTCAAATTGGTTCCGGTTCCGGCTTACAATTCGGTTCCGGGCAAACCTGAACTTTCTTACACCCCTAAGGATCAGCTTTTTTTATAGAAATATGGGTTGTCCTTGCAATATCTCCCCGGTTGGACTTGCAATATTTTCTAAATTTTCGCCTGCGGTGCCAGAAAAGGGTCAAATCTGGCTTCTAGTCTTCTAGTGATATCGAGGGATTGATTCTTAAAACTCGTTTGACTAAAAACAGGTTGATTTTTTCACTTATGGCCTCTGAAATTTTCAAAATTTTTGCCTGCGGCGCTAAAAGAATTTTTCGGCCTTCCAAAATACAAATTAATATCAAAAATTATCGCATACAAATTTGTTAGCAAAATTTTTTTAAAAGTTCCGATTCCGGCCGGAACTTTGAAATGTTCCGGTTCCGGGAACCGGAACACAAATTGGATCCGGTTCCGGTCAAAATTTCGGTTCCGGTGAAACCCTATTACAAACCTCATTAGTATATTAAAGGCTTTAGGAAATTCTTGAACAAATTTTGTATGATCAACAACAATCCCCACTTTCATATATTTTGCAATTTCGGCATTAAACTTTTGTTTGAAAGTGAAGGGAATTAAAATTAAAGGAACACCAGCATAGAGAGCCTGTAAATTTAATTAAATTAAAATAATAATTATTTTAAAATCTCAGAAAGATATACATAGAAGCTTTAGGCAATTTTAAAAAGGATAAATCTGGCTACAAAATGAGATCAAAATTAAACACATATGTATAGAAATTAAATGAGTTTATAATGCCAGAAAATGAAGTAATTAGATACCTGATTAAAGCATTTCTGATCACCAGCAGTGATAAAACCGCGAAGATTTTTATGTGCTAAAATTTATGATAAAATTAGAAAATTCTATATTTTTCCGATCATAAAAATTGGAAATTTAAATATTGACAAGTGTAAGGAAGAGAAAGACTAGGCGGGGGTTTAAGATCTATTAAAAGAGAAAGCAGCGTCCCGGTGTCTCAGTCGGTAGAGCACCTGTACGAGGTAAGCGAACTGCCAGGAGGTCGCAGGATCAAAGCCTGCCAGGGTTTAAACTTTTATCTCGCTCTTACTCAAGTATGACTAGTAACTTCGAAAAAAGAGTTAATAAATTTAGGCGAAGGGCGAAGTTAAGTAGGCACAACAATAAACACTCGCAAAATTCTTTAATGAAAATTTTACCCAATAATTTCTGTAGATTTACTTCTTTTACAAAATAAAAATATATATTTTTATAAACATTTGGATCTATTCGCCACGGGAATAAAGGATCTTTTTTAAGCATTGGAAATTCAAATCCGATTCTGAGTTGAACAACAAATTTACATTTGTCATATTTTACAAATGTCTCTACTAATTTATTAAAATATTCGTCTGTAAATCCTTTGAAGGAATGGCCTTTAGTGATATAAAATAGAACAAAGCAATCAGTCTATAAAATAAAATTGGAAATTTAATAATAAAAAAATTCATTGGAAAAATTAATCAAATTTTACTTATCCAATATTAAATTATTACCTTTTTAATCCACTCAAATACAGGGTCGTCAAAGACAAATTCCTTTACTTTATTTTTTAAAAAGCCTGTTAAACCCTTATTTTCCATTTTCTCTTTCAATTTCTTTTCTTCCTTAATTTCATTCAAAATTCCTTCTATTTCTACTTCAATACCTCCAATATTAACAATTCTTTTTGGAATATTTGGAAAGGGAAATTGTCCAAGTGGATGGACATTTATTAAATAATATTTTGATTTTCTTAATAAATCCCACATTTTTGGCATTTCTTCAACTTTAATTAATTCATGGTTTCCTAATAAATTCTTTTCCAAAGCCCTTTTCCTTGCCAAATTTAAATATTTTTCTTGATTTTGTTTATAAAATGTATAATAAACTTGTGGGTGTTTAAGCTCTAAATAAACAATAAAATATTAAATCAACCCTATTCCAAATTTAAAAAGTATTTTTTGAGTTTAATACTCCGCGGTTCCAACTCCAAGAATTTTCAAAAAGTTTGACAAACCAAAATAGTAACCCTTGAAAAATAAGACTCGACGTGCTTTAACAAGATGTTAAAGCTCTCGTTGTGCTTTAACATCTTTGTGTGCTTAATCTATCCAAAGAAACTCTAATAATCATGTAAATTGTCTCTAATTTCAAAATTACTTCACATCTTTTCTTTAGAAAATACATACCAGGGTTTAAATAATAGAGTTCCTGCCCAAAAAAATGCAAATAAATAGGAAAAGGAATTGTTGAAGTTGCAGCTATATATTTCTTTAATCCAATTTCTTCAAAAAGAGGAAATGCTCCTCCAGATAAAGAAAACTCAGCAATTCCCAGTGCAAATTGTTGCCCCATAAGTTTAAGCCAATCAAAAATTTTTTGTTGTATTCCATAGATTTTGACTTTAGGATTTTCTATTATTGCTTAAAAGGGAAGAATTTAAAAAATAATTAAATTTTGCCTCCATGTACACAATAATTCATAGTTAGAAAATTTTATTTTAATTTAGTTTCATTGACTTTAATGATATTTTGTAAATATTATTTAATATACATTACAACAAGACTACAAAAATTTTCAGAACAATCCGACAACGGGATGATAGAGAAACTCAAAAAATTCTAGGGGGGTTATAATTTCTTAACACACTGTATATAATACCGTTACCAAATGGTCATAGGCAATGTTGGGTATTCAACGTTTTATTTCCAAACTCAGCTCCGGTTCTGACCTATTAATTTTAACTCCCCTTCTAAGTACATAGACACCTTTGAAATCCTCATCAAAATTAATTTCTTAACTTGCCTTTATATGAGAAGTACATATAAAATCCTAGCAATTTTATGAGGTGATCATCATCTTTTTTATCTTCAGATGTCCAATTACTAATTTCAAATTCACCTTTATTATGCACCTGTGAATATTCCTTATCCTCTATATAAGTTACTTCTATCAAGTGAACTTTTTCTAAAGGTTTCTTTAAAATGACATTTCCTTCGAATTTAACCACAAGCAAATACTAAAATTCATGTTTGAAATGGAAAAATTAAAAAAAAAATTGTTTGAATTTACCACGTCATATTTGCCGTTGTAGCATAGAACATTAGCAATGTTCAACTAAAAATTAATTGTGAACTAAATTTTCTGTTAACACTATATTATAACTAAAAATCTCGATTCTCGAAACATTTTAAAAATCAATTTTAAGATAAGTGAGATGCATATTTATTAAAGATTAAGAGCCCGAGTAACCTGATAACTAGGGCTCGGATTTATATTGAAATAAAATCGCAAAATATGGCCATAAAATATTGAAATAAGTGGGCAAAATATTGACAAAAAATGCCAAAAATTAGTGAAATATTGAAATAAATTATCGTTTATTCACTAGAAAACCCCCAAAAATGTTGAAATTTAATTGAAATTTAACGAAAAAATGAATCACGTTTTTAAAATTGCACAATAGCCCGACGAATTGAGTAATTTTACGCTCTTGGACATTTTACGATTGACAAAATGAGGTTGGGACATTTAGCTGTTTTGCTCAATGTGCCATTTTTGAGGTTTTGCCCAACAAATTTTGAGGTTTTTGTTAATTGAGAATTTTTTGTCCTGTTACGAAGAATGTCTAGGCAATAAATAGTGGGAAGGCAACGGTACTGTGGTGAATAATAGGCCATAATATCCCCTTTTCAGCGCCGCAGGCGAAAATTTTGAGATTTTTGGTTGTCAGGCGGCCAGATTTATTCACTTTTTTCCTAAAATTTATGAAAAATCCCTAAATTTTGGTAAAAATATCCAAAAATATTGAAATAGTTTGAAAAATGTGCCAAATATTGAAATAACTGGAAAATTGGCAAAATATTGAAATATATTGAAATGTAAATTCGTTCAAAATCATAATATCGAAAAACTAATGGCATATTTAAGCTTCTCTCGCCATAATATATTAAGGAAAAAAAATATATTTCAATACAAATCCGAGCCCTACTGATAACATCTTAATCCACCCAAATCCTCTTAAACAATATCCCTCTAATTCCTATATCCTCAGATGTTTCAATGACTCTTGGTTCCTTCATATCCCTTGATATAATCCGACTGTCTTCAGTTATAAGAATCCATAATGTTAACTGTGCGGGGTACTTTATGGATATGTCACCCCCCCCCTATTTTGAGTATCAGAGTTTTCCTTAAACGAAGAAAATGGTCAGAGATTATTTTCTTCTCCGTGTCAATCATTTTTTTCTTTTTCAAGTATTTTGCTTTTTTATTTTGCCTTTTCACATTTTTGTACTTACATTTCACTCATTTCGTTTCTACATTTACCACATTTCACTTATTTTGCTTGAAGAAAGAAAAATGTTGACATGGAGAAGAAAATAATCTCTGACCATTTTCTTCGTTTAAGGAAAACTCTGAGACTCAAAATAGGAGGGGGGGTGACATATCCATAAAGTACCCTGTGCGGACTCAAATGAAAAGTGTAATTTGTTTTTTTAGCCCCAAAAGTAAAAAAGTTTTGAGTTTATAAAACAACGTTGTGGAACATAAAATGAACATTTTAAAAATAATTTAGAATATAATTTTCGAAAATATCGAAACATTTCTTATAAGAATTGAGATTATCTCGAAAAATATTGATATCAATAACTGAGGCTTTTGTTCGAGATCTTACTTCGGTAATGTATCTATTGTTAACTTACGAAGAAATCGTAATGCGGGTAAATTACATCAGTTACCAGCAATATCTTCTTTCCATTATTTGCTTTGGGTGGGATTTGTTGATTGGATTGAATACTCGAAGAGGATGAGCCTTCATCATAATTTTGTTGAGAAAGTAAAGGTGTTTTACTATCTCCTTTATGAAAGTTCCACATACAATCAACATTGGAAGGTAGCAGAATATAAAAAAAAATTAAAAAACAATTAAGCCAGAAAATGGAAAACATTTTCAGCTAAAAATTAAAAATTAATTAAATATTTAAATTAAAACATTGTAAAATGATTTGTTAGTAATAGCCGAGCTTATTATCATTTTTCCTTTCGTTTAAGTAATATTGAAAAAATTTCAATGTTCCTTAATCAAAATTAATGGTATAAGATTTGTCGGAAATTAAAATTCGAGTTCGAACTCTGGTTATGGGTTTTATATAGAGTTGGCCGGTATCGGGATCCCGACCGGTATCGGGCGGTATTATACCGGTTTTTTTGAATCCCGATACCGATTTTTTTGATACCGACACCGAAAGACAAATCCCGATACCGTTTTTGCTGATACCGAAACCGAGGCCGGTATCGGTATCGGTATCGGGATTAGCGTCGGATACCGACAAAATACCGATTTTGTAAATATTTTTTAACACCCCTAAGAATTGATTTCTCATTTTTTATATGGACGAAATTAGCCGCATGGCCTTCTAAAATTCTCAAAATTTTCGCCTGCGGCGCTGAAAATGGAAGAAATCTGGCTTCTTTGTCTTCAAAAATTTTCAAAATTTTCGCCTGCGGCGCTGAAAAAGTGAATTTTTTGACCTACGGCCTTCTATAATTCTCAAAAATTTCGCCTGCGGCGCTAATAAAGGAACAACTCTGGCCTATTGACTTTACAAAAATCTTAAAATTCCGCCTGCGGCGCTGAAATGGGAAAAAACTAGGCTTCTTGTCCACAAAATTTTCGGAATTTTCGATTTTGGCGCCTCCAGTGAATAAAATTTTGGCTTAAAAATTAAGTAGTGTTTATTAATGAAACACAGTTGTTTTGTTAACGAACGAAGCCTAATTTAAAAAAATGTTTTATGCAAGTCTGGTCCCCATATTGAGGGATATCATTCGATTATCGGGGGTATCCCTAGTACTCCCAAAAAGTCTACCGATATCCCTCCTAATCACCAAAGTTGATTTGAGGTATAAAGTTGAAGTTGGAGTATAACCGTGGATGAAGATGATATCGGAGGATTAAATGGATATCGGTGGATCTGGAAGGTCTTCTTCTGTTCCTGAGATGTTTTTGTCTCGTGAATAGCTTTATAGTGATAATTTATCATTTTACTACTGATTAAAACCTTTTTAAAATGAAGAATGAATTTATTTATTAATGAATTTAGTTATTTTTTTCATATTAAAATTTTTTTAGGAAATACCGATACCGATTTTTAAATCCCAATCACGAGTCGGTATCGGTACCGGTATCGGTATCATTAACTCAAATCCCGATACCGGTTTCGGCCAATACCGATCCCGAGGTCGGTATCGGTATCGGGATCGGTATCATCATTCCAAAATACCGATAACGGATTTAGGTCGGGATCCGATACCGGCCAACTCTAGTTTTATACTTCAAGAATTGGACCTGTGCTAATTTCTAGTTCTTTATTACCTTTTTTGTCCGTTTTACATCAATTTAGTAAAATAATATTTCAATAGAAAAACCCAAAACAGGTATCTATATTTGGTAATTACCTTGAATAGAAACCTTGGGTAATTATTGTAGGGATAGGGATAATTAATAGAAACAGGGGAGGGGGGTAATTATTTGAAAAAGGGCAATTGATAACTTTATATGCATAATAATGAAGTAATTCTTTAAATAAAAGATTTTTTTTAAATGTTAAGGCAATAACTAAAAAATTTAATTTGACTTCTTAAAAATTCCTCTCTACCCCTCCACTCCCTCCCTCCCTTCCCTCTCCCCCCTCCTCTCTCCTTTCCACCCTTCCACACACACATGATTCTTTAAAATGCCCTTTATTAATTATCGATAAAACGTGGAATTTAATAAATTTTTAATTAAACATAAAAGAGATAGAGAAAATAGCTAATATAGAATTGATAATGTCTAAAGAGCAACATTTATTAAATCAACACTCAAACAAACAATTTTAATAATTAACAAGAAACATTTAAAAAAACAAAACGTTTTTGGCTAAAACGTTGAAAACTCTTTTTAAAATTAAAACAGCGGAAAGAAAAAAATTATAAAGTACATAAAGTGCCGTAAATTTAGTTAAGAAAAGACATTGCTACTAGTTTTGGAATCCTTAATTTTATATAATTTTGTAGCTCTTATCAAAGGACCATAGATCTGTTAAATAAAAGTTGACGATCAAGCCAGCAAAATTCATTTATCTAAAGAGATTCTCATTTTGTGCAGAAATTTTTTAAGAAAATATAACACAACACACTTTTATTTTTCATAGTTCCAACATTAGGAAAACTCCTTTAAAATTCCATCAATATACTCATAACTAGGGTCTCACAAATAATCACGATAAATCGCAAAATATGCAGATATATATGCTCAGAAAAAGCTCAAAATATGAACTGAAATATGCAAAATTTCTTAAAATATACAATAGATATGCAAAAAATTTTAAATGAAAAATTTTTATTCTCATGCGCGGTATAGGAGCCCAAAACAGGTATCTATATTTAGCAAGTAACTTGAATAAATACCATGGGTAATTATTGTCGACCTATCGCTAGATGGATAATTAATAGAAACATGGGGGGGGGGGTAATTATTTGAAAAAGGGCAATTGATAACTTTATATGCATAATAATGAAGTAATTCTTTAAATAAAAGATTTTTTTTAAATGTTAAGGCAATAACTAAAAAATTTAATCTGACTTCTTAAAAATCCCTCTCTACCCCTCCACTCCCTCCCTCCCTTCCCTCTCTCCTCTCCACGCTTCCACTTACACATGATTCTTTAAAATGCCCTTTAATTATCGATAAAACGTGGAATTTAATAAATTTTTAATTAAACATAAAAGAGATAGAGAGAATAACAAATATAGAATTGATAATGTCTAAAGAGCAACATTTATTAAATCAACACTCAAACAAACAATTTTAATAATTAACAAGAAACATTTAAAAAAACAAAACGTTTTTGGCTAAAATGTTGAAACTCATTTTAAAATTAAAACAGCGGAAAGAAAAAATTTATAAAGTACATAAAGTGCCGTAAATTTAGTTAAGAAAAGATATTATTAGTAATATTTTTGAAAATTATTTTTTCAGACATTAATTTGGAATCTTTAATTTTATATAATTTTGTAGCCATATTTATTGGCTCTATTTGTAGCTCTATTTGTTAAATAAAAGTTGACGATTAAGCCAGCAAAATTCATTTATTTAAAGAGATTCACAAATTAGCTATAATTTAAGGAGACTCTCAAAAAAG